TGGTGGGAGCACAGAGGAGTGGAACTGATTTTACCGAACCATGCAAACCTTCCTCTAGTAAAACCCCATATAGACACGTGTTGTGCGTTTGGCACCTGGTCAGAAACCAGAGTGATCCTAGCTAGATCTGTTTGGAAAATAGAAATCTGCTGGGCTGAGTTTGGAAAATGATTTTCTTCTGTTTTGGGGTAAAAAGTAAAATGAACAATCCCCCCTCCCACCCCCAAACATTATATATAGTTATTTATTCATTTTAGCAGAAAGAGATTTCTGAAAAAAAAAAAAAGGTGTTTACAGAAAGTTTTGGGGTGCTAGTTGTCTGGCTGCCCAGAAAGTACTGCTCAATTTCCTCTTCCTCTTTCCATAAGTGAAAGTCTATTAGTCTTTCTATTAGTCTTCTACTGGAGTTACTAGCAGCTAAATGTGAAGTCTTTGTCCTGCTCTTCTTTGTTGATGCCTGATCAGGGAGTTCTGTCAACTTTGTGGCTTTCCTCAAAGGCTGAGATGTGGGGGGCTATAACATGAACATCTGTAGCTCTCTTCTCAATAACAGAACAGAAAACTGAATATAAACACTGGAAAAATCAGTTTTATGGAACAAGCATTTTCTGTTTTAATGAAAATAACCTTGATGACAAATTTCTGTCTATTTACTCCAAGTCTTCTCAAAATATGCCAGATACTCTGTGTGGATATTTACTTATGATATCACATGCCACAGCAGGGTGAAAGCTGATTTCCCTGCAAAGTATAGATTTTATATTAAATTATGTATCGTAATGCTACAATGACCTTTGGCTCACTGACATAGTGATGATTCAAGAGTAGCAAATTATCATAAAGATAATGTAGTAATAACTTTTTGTGACATTTGCCAGTTTGTCTTTGGATACATCAGGAAGGGACAAGGTACCTATGCTGTTCTTAGTCATTATTTCTAAATTGTATCTGATGTTTCACTCATCAGGCTCTGAGCATCCTGAGATGACAGATTAAGATGTTTCAATGTTTTATTAGGAATGTAAATATGTTAGTTGGTATATAAACAACCACTTAAAAGTGTATGTGTGTTTGTGTGTCTGCACTGCCATATAAAGGAACTGCAAACCTTTCCGTAGAGATTCCAGTGAATTAAATTCTTAATAAATATTTGACCTTCTTGCATTTCTCAACACATTCTTTCTACATATGCTGCAGTTAAGGTTTCAGAACTTTTTCCTTTTAAAACTTGTTTTGTCAGTCACAATAATATGTATTTCTACCATGCTATTCAGAGATGCACTAGATATTTTCCTGAAATAAATATAGGAGAAGACAATAGAGGCTCATCTAAATGACTGTCTATTGATCATTTAATGCCAATATTGCAGGGGACCATCACAGTATTTAAAATAATTCATCTCTGTATTAGAGGGTTGGATGAAAAGACTACCTTACCATAACATACATAAAACTTATCCAAAAGACATTACTTGTATATTTCAAAAGGAATTCTTTTTACCTTCAAAAAATAAAAACTCAGTTTAATAGGGAAAACTTTCAGTAAAAAAATAGTCTGTTCTGTTCCCTTTTTATTACTGATAATGTTCTGTTGACACAGAAGTCAATAGCAGATGTTGCACAAACCAGGAGAGAAAATAGGTTAAAAAGGGAAAAGAATAAAGAAAACAATTATCATCCAACAAAGGCCACTGCATAAGAAGACAGTAGGGGTTCACTCTCCTTTGTGAGAGTGGAGAGTCAGAAGAGAAAAACATGAAGAACATGAAAAACATGAAAACATGAAAAAATGCAGGCTACTGCTCGCTATTGAAGAATCCAAAGGCTAATATTAGTAATAGGGCAGAGTCATGACTGTGAGCATAGTGCCAGTCAACTAGAGGGAGAAGAGCAATGGCCCCTCAGAAATGCAAAAGAAGTGTTTTGTTTGCATTTTTCTGTTTTGTCCTGGAGTGAAAGAGCTTCTCATGCTTTGAGCAAAGGAATCATTACAAAGAATCATCAGCATATACCTAATCAACCATGGGAGGGAGAGGTGGGAAACCAAGACAGATGACCTGATACTGAAATAACAGTCTTACTCCCCCACTAAATTTTCACTGTAGGATTCTCTTTGCTCATCACAGTGGACTATCTTCCTTAGTTCTGTACTTGTGAGGAATTAGTAATGATATGTTATCCTTTAATTCAATGTCACTTCATGGATATAGTACAAATTTAGGGAACAACAGATCAATATTGTCTATGTCTTGTCTTTCCCATTAGAAATTATTCTTGTCATGAAGGTGAGGATACAATTAAAGAAACATATTTATAAAGTCATAGACAGATATGTTTTAGATAAAGGGAGAGGATTTATTTTATTTTATTTTATTTTATTTTATTTTATTTTATTTTATTTTATTTTATTTATTTTATTTTATTTATTTATTTTATTTTATTTATTTTATTTTATTCTATTCTATTCTATTCTATTTTTTGCTTGGAAAAAATAATACATCTGTTTATACACTGTGACTGGAAAAATGCACGTCATCATGTTTTTGAAGATAACAATATAGATTTATGATCTAATTCTGTAAATGTATGGCAGACTGCTATAAATTTAGGAATAATTTGCTTTGATAACTAACTGGAAAATTAGTGTCATTCCTAGCAAGAAAGAGCATGTTTATAACTGAAACATGCTGTGATAAAATGCTCTAAGAACTAAATATCCTGGAAAGAATTTTAATTCTTATAAAGATAAGTAATTGAAGGAATGCTAATTCTGTTTACTAGGAATGACTCTGTGCCACAGCTACATATCAAATGTATTGAGGAAACCAGGAATATTTTTTACAGGAAAGTTTATGAATCTTTTTTATTTTTTTTTTATTATTTTTTTTAGGTGTGTTAATAAAATTTGGCAAATACAGATACATAAGGAAAATGACCTTACATTGTGAAAAAATGGTCCCAGAATTTTGTAAATAACTGCTATGAACAAAAGGCTGGAACATGCGTAGCAGTGCTGGAGTCACTGCAATCAGATGGTAGGCAGGTGAAGAACTGAGCAAAAAAAAAAAAAAAAAAAGGTAACTATTTATATGGTTGATAAGTATTCCCAGAACTAAAAATGGAAATGTTTCAGTCTACTCTAATGATTAAGGGAAAAAAAAAAAAAGTTTTTAAAAATGAAGCACGAAAAAAAAAATAATTAAAAATATAAACCAGTTACACACTAATAATGTAGGGAACAGCATTCTTCACAGTTCAGATAATTCCATACGTTCATAACAAGTAACTGGGTGAAGGAAGAGTAGAAGAAAATAGCTACTAAGTAACTGTACTAAGAATATGCAAATTCTTCCAATGAATCCAGAAATTATGTTTTGTTTTGTTTTTGTTTTTGTTTTCCCTAATACAAATCTGATCAATTAAGGGAGTGTACAATCTTCATGAAAGTTTTGTTTTCTGTGTCTTGAAAGTTGTTTTCTGCATTCATTTTTCTGACAAATCAGAGAAGAGGTGTATCACATCACTCTTCTAGCACAAATTTAAGGCATTAATCACATAGTTAGGAGGTTTTTGATGTTACAGTCCATCCTGAGGAGCTCATGGGCATTTTGACATAACACCATCCATGGGCTCTGGCATCCCTGAAGAGTACAGCATATAACACCTGTTAATCTGGCCACAGTGAGGTAGGATGGAGGTTGAGCAGTGAGCCCTGTCCTTCTTAGTCTTGGGGCAGTGATCAGGGATCATGAAAGGGAAAAGTAGAAAATAAGGGGCTGAGAACAGCCCTTGTGATTGCTTCACTGTAAGCCTCTGAACATGCTTTTTGTATGGTCAGATGTAAGAGTAGAGCTATCTAACAAGAGGATTGCAAGAGGGGAAATGGGTAAGTAACTGATAGTTTAGAATATTACTGCCCAACCAGTGCATGATTTCCCATCCTCTGGGACCAAAAAGAATATGTATGAGGGAGCTGGAGTCAGCTATTGATACTGGGGAGCAGTAGTTTGTGCAAAAGAGAAAAATATTCACTTAGGTGAAATAACCCCAGCTCTGAGTCTAGTAGGTAAAGTCAAAAGTCTGTCCCTCTTGGCTGAAGGCAATCAAACACCTTATGTGCAGAGGTCCCAGCGTTTTCAAGAGCAGATGGTGCCTTTCTGTATGAAATGTTTAATGATGTGTGCTAATGAAGCTGGAGTTTCTGCTGTGTTAGGACACAGGGGCCCTTTGCAGAATCCAGGTACACTTATTTTTTTTATTTATTTATTTTTTCCTGATGGAGCTCAGTGAATGAAAAGAAATAAAAGAGCTGTTACTTTGCTTGAAGGGAAATTCACTTCAGCCAGGGTGCCAAATGTCTATGTATATGTTAATCAACTCCAAATGTATCTTCAGGAAGAAAATTGTTTAAATGAACTGTGTAATTCTACATACCCACTCAGTCCTCCTTAAGATTTCCTTTGTTCTTCAGGTGTGTACTATAGCAATGCATTATTTTATCCCAAAGTGCTCAACAATCCTAGCTACTGCTGATCTCTTTTTGCAGCAAGAAGTCCCTGTGAAGCCCTTGTCAGGTCAACTTCTCAAATGTCTCCTTTGTAGATGTTTAGACAGTGAGTGGGACATAAATAACAATCTTTTGTCGGTACTTTATATATATCTAAGAAAACTTTTACAGATTTATGTAAGAAATCTGTGACCCAGAAAATAACAGGCCAGAGCTCTTCTCTATAGCAACTTCTGGGGGAACCACAAAAGTGACCTTCTTCTTGAAGAGTCCATCAAGCCTACTGGAAGAAACATGTCAGGAAAACCTTCAGTCACCAGCTATAGTCATTGGGCCCTAAGCCATCTTCCTTTGCACTGCTCCACTTGACCAATAGGACAGAGAATGCAGAAAAGCACCATGACGTGTTGTGAAGGAATGTTTCAGTTACTTGCAAGAGGACAATGAATCGGAAAGTCTTAATGTTGGCCTTTTGTAACAGACAGATTATTGATTTTGCAACCAGAACAGTAGTTTTATTTTAATGTTGTTAAATACACTGCCTATGTTTCTTCCCGAGGTTAGAAATGGTTCTGTTGTAAGCATCTATAGCAACTTTATAACATAGGTTTGTCAGTGTTATCAAGCACTGCACATTCACAGTCAGGCTGAATTCCAAGTAACTACTGCATCTGGAAGAAGGAAGAGATGAGGGAGGAAATGTATACTAGGGCCTTGTATTGGCTTTGTGAAATGGTTGCAGCAGTTTGGTTTGAGTCCCTGCTTTTGTGGAGAAGGAATAAGAAAACCTTCATTCTCGTGGTTCCTTCAAACACAAGGATAAGACTCATGCAACATGTCTGAAGGAGAAAGTCTCTTAGGGAGGAAAGCTTCGCTCTCTGTTCTGCTCTCTTGCAAGGGAGGTTATATTTTCAGAGCTCCTGTTGTAGCATATTTTGCTGTTTATTTGGTTGTGCTGTCCGAGCATTCAAGATCAGTTATTATTTTGGCGTGGTGCCATGCCTTTGCTGACAGATGGGAATGACACCACGTGTACCTGTGACATAGACAAATTTTTCATAGGAGACAATGGAGATATTTATCTTCCAGAACTTTCTTCTTGCTGAATCTCAAAGGTCTGCTGTAAGCAACGAAAACATGGGAACCTTAAAATGAATGTCAAAATCAGATTCTTTGTCTAATGAGATATACACAGAAATGCAAAAATTAGTTCCCTCACTGTAAATGCATAGATAAGAATATATACAGTTTTAGTTACAAAAGCCTTTTTTAGCTGTTTATTTTATTTTATTTTATTTTATTTTATTTTATTTATTTATTTATTTTATTTTATTTTATTTTATTTTAATTTCATTTCATTTCATTTCATTTCATTAATAACATTTCTTTTTCTTGTTTTACAAAGTCATTTACTGTATTCAGTGAACATCATACTGGAGTACCAGGCATTGCCCATTACCAGGAGTATGATGGCACTGTAAGGATCTTCTCCTCATGAGTAAATAGAGTTGTAACTTGCTAGATGGGAAATACAAAACAGGTGGAAGAATTTCTGTTTTAAACTTAAAATGACTGTCTCGGTCTCAGAAGTATTTCTGGCTACATATGGATCTGAACATGGTTTACATGCCAGATACACATGGGAATTTTATATTTTCACCAGCTCCCACTGGGATTTTTCATATGCACAGATAATCAAATTATTCAGTTTTGTTGAATTAAGGGTAGAAGTGCAACCCTCCATAGATTAAATGCATATCGTTTAGAATATATCTCAAGCTTTTCTGCACATACTCTTTCAGTGTTGCAATGCCCTGGAAAAGCCATGAGATTCATGCTTTCTTGGAACCCTGAAGCTGGAGAATGTATTTAAATCAGAAAATTCTTAGGACTGTTTGTTTATTTTCTTGGGCTTATCTTTTTAAAGCAAGAAGTGTACAGACAAACCACCAGAAGAAAATAATTTGTAAAATACAATATTAAAATAATCTCTCAGGTGGCATAAGTAATAGATTTCTGTTCAATCACATGAAATATAGAAGTGACCACAAGGCTAATTGAAAAAAGGAAGAACACATTACAAAATGATGAATCATTTACAAATAAGCTACTATACCTGTTTAATATGGATCCAGGCTACCAAGTTTATAATCTCCCCCAGATAATTAATACCTGCTCAAAAGACAAGTAAATGTGTAAGTTGTTTCCCCTGGAGTCATTGGGTCTCTTTCCACTGACTCATTGCTGCATAGAAATGTACCTATTCCATTCCTTCATCTGGCTTAAAAAATATTTTGAACAGCCTGTCAGATTAAGACTGTGCAAGCAGGCAATTTAGGCTGAGGCAAAACCCTTCTGTTAGACAATTTATGAGGAAATTATGAAAAGTTTTTACTGGTTCTGTTTCAGATAATAATAATAAGAAGAAAAAGAAGGGTAAAGAAAAAGAAAGGGAGAGAAAAAGTGTTAGAGAGGAAGGAAGGAAGGAAGGAAGGAAGGAAGGAAGGAAGGAAGGAAGGAAGGAAGGAAGGAAGGAAGGAAGGAAGGAAGGAAGGAAGGAAGGAAGGAAGGAAGGAAAAGAGAGAAAGGAAGAAAGAACTTTCAAAGCAGACTAATGTCTAGATTTCCAGAATATGTTTCGAAAATTATGCCCAAAAATTTATCAAAAAATGAAAGAAAAAAAAAAAAGACCAATTGTTATTCCTTTAATTTCTAGATCAGTGCTATTTTTCAATATACATTTATGATTTACAGTTACATTATTATCTCAAGACTTTCTCTTCAGCAACTTTGCAAAGTAATTTTTTAAGCAGAGGCAGAGAATATTTGAAAATGAATATTCTATTTTTTTCTTCACACGTGATTTATAGTACAGAAACAATATCTAAAAACAGGTGTTTTTTTCGTTTTTTTTTTTTTTTTCTTCGCTTCTTGTGATTCATTATTGTTATTTTCTTCTTTTTCTTTAGACAATCAACTAAACAATTAGGGTAAGAAAATCAAATATATAAGCATTTTTTTTTTTTGAAACTATACTGGAAAGAATATAAAATTGTCTGTTTGCACCTTCTGAACTTCTAAAAGAACTGTATACTGTCTGTCCCTTATTCTGGATTCTTAGAATCATCATAGAATTGTAGAATAGTTTGCATTGGAAGGATCATATAATTCTAGACCCCTGCTATTGGCAAAGACATTATTCTGAATGATAATGTAGAGAGAATCTTTATTATGACTTTTTTTAAAACAAAACAAAACAAACAAAAAATGGTGTTATAGCAAGGTGAAGACCTTGAACAGTTTAGATATCAGATTTATATTCTATTCAGTCATTTGAGAGTCATAGTTAGGATCTTTATCAGAGAATATTTTCTTAAACTCAAACTTCAGGTTATTCTCCATGAAAATACTGTGAACAAAGTACTTCTTGCCAGCAAAACACTTTGTAATGCTATGCAGTGGTTCAGTATTTTTTTCATAGAAGGTGACCTCCATAGTGTGAAATTGCAGGTTTAATATTTTGCTTCTGTTTAAACAAATGACTAAGGTCTCAGATGGGATATTTTCAGAAGCCAGGGCAGGAGAGAGGTTAATTAAAATGAAAAATATTTTGTCAGTTGTAAAAATCTGTAATTATGTAGAACCTTTTTCTATTTTTAATCTACTCTCAGACATATTGATTTTTGTTTACAGTCTTAAGAACAAGATGACCTGACACTTCCTGCACTAGCAGATGTTCTGGAGCTTGCAGACTGGTGTCAGTCCTCAGCAGAAGGTGTAGAATCTGATTTCAACATACTTTCTATAATAATATTCTAGAAGTGGAGAACTACAGAGGCAGACTCTAAAAAACTTTATCTCTGTGATAAGGCTATTCACTATAGGCCAAATTGCATTAATACCTGGTTTCACATCTTGTTAAAGTAAAAATATACTTGTCTCTTTACTGACCTTACATTATTATAAAAGAAGGCAAAGAAATAAAAAATATTTTCCCCTACCCTATGCACTATTTTTAATATGACTCTGTCCCCTCTTTAATTCCACTCTGATGCACAGATCTTTCAGTAATTCAGGCATATGCTTAGGGGAAGTAGTGAGTCGACTTTCAATAATGGCAAGAGCTCTATAAAAATCACCAATGCGACTGTATTAAGTTCAAGCTGATGCTTTCTCATAGTAATGATCTGGAAGTAAAACAAAACCAAACAAACCTGGACACAGATATTTTTCTTATGGTACACTCTGGTGTAGTTTTCTGACCATTTATTTTATGAAACCTGTTATTGTACCATGTTTCTTTTTTTTTTTTTTTTTTTAAAAAAAAAAAATATGTAGAAGAAGAGAGTACAAATAGAACAAGACATAATATAATTTATTAACAAGTAGATTTTCTCTGATTTTCTCTTCAATAGAATAAGTTTTCTGATAGTAGGGATTATTAAAAGTTTACCTTGCAAAGTTCTCTTCATGCTGATGCTTTCAGTGAAGTCAGTAGAACTAAATTGTTGGGTTCCATTCATTCCTCATGCAAAAATATTTGAATATATTTTAAATTCTTTTCATAAATGAGGAAGTTTCTACTCTCATGTCATATCTAATAATCAATGTCTCGGAGACCCAGTATCCAACATTGTGACATATATATCTTAAAGCCTGAAAGCTATATTGTTGAATTAGTTTGAGTTCAGATGAATAATAAATTCTGCTTTCCTTGTAGTATATCTCTGTTATTGACTGACATGTAGCTATTCCATGGAAAACAGATAATGTCCTTATCCATATTTGAATTTGTTGAGTCATAGAGTTAATTTGAAATGCTTCAATATCTGATTATTGATATATTTGCATATTTTTACTTTTCAGTTAATAGATTTTGAAAAATTGTCAGCTTCCATATTCCCTAAGGAATCTGTTGTTCGATACTTTTCTTAATTCTCAATGACAAAAATTCTTATTTCTTCCTTTCAGGCATATGTCATATAATGTCCCCAGAGCTGGAACTGCAGAAGTTCTTTTGGCCTTCTTTAAGGTCATTCAGGTTCCTACTTAGGAAGCTGTGTGGAAGAAGTTATCCTTGTTCCTCTTTCTTAGACTACAGAATGTAAACCAAATTAAGGAGAGGAGGAAAAACAAACAAACTATTGTTCAGGTTTTTCAATGGCTGCCATATACACTTTATTTAATTATTTAAATATGTATATTTGTATATATGTATGTTTTAATTTTATTGGGAGTAGCCAGTGTTGATGTACAAAGGTGAAATTGTATTTTAACCTGCTTGTAATACTTTGCCTAATGCAGCCCAGGATAACATTAGTCTTCCTTAGAGCAAGGGCACATTACTGGCTCATGTTTGATTCGGTGTCTACCAGGACTCCTAGGTCCTTGCCTGCAAAGATGCTTTGCAGATGTGTGGCCCCCAGCATGTCCTAGTGCATGGGGTTGTTCCTACCCACTCTAGGACTTTACATTTCATGAGCTTCCCGCCTGCCCATTTCTCCTACGTTTCCAGGTCACTCTGGATGGCAGCACAACCCTCTGGGGTCAGCCTCTTCTCCCACTTTTATTTTCAGACTTACTGAGGGTGCATTCTACCACATCACACACATTATTAATGAAGATGTTGAACAGGTCTGGAGCTGGAGTTGATCCTTGCGGTACATCACTGGCCTCCAACCAGACTTTATGTATCTTATTACCACCCTCTGGGCCCAGCCATTCAGCCAGTTTTTTATCCACCTCACTGTCCACTCATCCAGCTCACACATTATCAGTTTCTCTATGAGGTTCTTATGCGAGACAGTGTCAAAAGCCTTACTGAAGTCTAGGTAGGCAATTTCTACTCCTCTCTACTCGTTTACCAAACCAGCCTTTTCATTATAGAATGCTATCAGGTTGGTCAAGCGTGACTTCACCTTGGTGAACACTTGCTGACTCCTTCTAATCATCTTTTTGTTCTTCATGTGCCTGGATTTGGTTTCCAGATCTAGTTGTTCCATTACCTTCTTGGGATGAAGGTGAGGCTGACCTGCAGATCTCTGAGAATTAAAGCCAGAAAAAGTATTTTGAATTAAATCAAGTATTTTCATAAGTAGTCTGGGAGAGTTAATAAGTATCACAATAATGAAAATAAAAGTTAGTAAGTAATTTGTGAGATTCAAATTCTAAGAAGGAAAGACATAATAGAGAAAAAACAAGACAAGTGAACTAGTGTTGGAAAAGTCAGTCAATGTAAATGATGGCAATCTGATACACTGGGGTGAATTAATGAAATCACTGTGTTCAGATGGTGGGAGGAGCCACAGAAATAGGAAGTAATGTTCTGCTGGTGCTGCTGCTAAACCAAATACCTGCTTTCACTGTTGAGATTTTGCTGATTGTGCTGTGTTGCACCTGTGGTCTGCAGTGGCAGGAAATTCATGTCAGAAAATGGGCATGTTTGGGAATGAAAAAAGATACAATAAAGCTAAATACAGATTGTTGGTTCTGTGAATACATATATGTGAAATTTGTGCTTTTAAATTCTGTCAGAAAATATGTATTGTGATGTCCTCTGGAATGGTTGGTTTAATCACAGTTTATTTGCCAGTAGTTTGTTAGGATAAGGTCAAGCCATTTGATTGACAGGAGTGATGTGCTGCCTGGACAAGCTGAAATGTTATTCTGAGGTCACTAAAAATCACATGAAAAATGATACAGAAGTGAGATGTGATTGTACAAATGCCCAAATGGTAAAAATTAGTTTGCTTAACCCACCTAGCCAGCTGAAATATGGATGAATATATATATATATGTATTAATGGTAGGTTTTAAAAGATTAAATCTAAACTGTTAAATGTTAAAATGTTAAACTATGATATATAATGTGATTTTTCTTTTTTTATAAAAATATATTTTGGTTAATTGCAAACAAACCACTACATTTTAATTTTAATTTTATTCCATAAAAAATGCTAGTTTCCGATTCTATCAGACAAAAGCTGCATGCAGTCATAGTACATGAAAACTTACTTTGCGCAAGGTGGTGAATAAAAGATCTTAGAGAAAGCTGACCTCAATGCACCCTTAGGCATGGCTATATAGGATAGTTAAGTGAACCTTTCTAGCAAAAATCACAAACAGCAGATTTAGGTCAAAAACCATCATATGATAGCATCTAATTCTCTATGCACAAACTGGACAATAACATTTGTTTTGTGGTCTTTTTCTTTGTACAAATCAGATGAACTTCTAGCTTTATACTCTGTCTTGTTTTAAAATTAAATATGAATTCAACACAGCAATGTAAACAAAAACATCAGAAAAGAAGTTAACTAGAACCAGATGTTGATCAAGATGCCACACATGGAGAAACCCATTTTAAACAACCATCTTACTGTAGTTACTTGATTCAGCTCAGTTTATGGCAAACAGAAAGGAGCTTTTTTTAGTTGCTATAAACTGGTGCACACACTTCTGCACGTGAAATCAACACCCCCTTAAAAGACATGGTGATTGGTTGCAGGATTTAGAGTTTTATAATTTTGTATCCCAGGTGACCAACTCCGGATGATACAAATGCAAAAGCCTGGACAATCTACCGGCTTCACACAACAAGAACTGTGTTTTTGTTTTTCTTTAATCTGAATTGAATGATTATACCTTTGTTGTGTACATTCCAAATCAAAGTCTCTGATACTGCTGGGGAAAAAATATTGAGATGGGAAAGATACTTCAAAGCTACACTTCAGTCTGAATTTTTAATCTACTATCACTACATGTAACTAAATTAGCTGAAAGAGATTTCAGGAGGAAAATATTTGTTTTGGTTGCTTTTGCTATCTTGTCTCTCTTCTTTCAAAGCACACAGATTTCTGAAAACAGGCTGAATCTAATTTCTGCTTATTTTTTGGTAGAATATTCTTTGAACAATTGATCAACTATTGTCTTCAGCAAGCAAAGCAGGAAAGACCTAAAAAAAGTCTGAAACCTCGAATAGGTAGGGCAGACACTTAGCAGAATTTGAGGCCAAAAACAACTGTTAAGATTTTTTGTCTGATGGCCTCTGTACACTCACCTGGAGAGCGGACTGAGAAGCACAACAGCTTCCCTCAGATACAATCATTTCAGGCCTCAGACAGCTGGTCCAAACTCCCACCGTGGTCTAGTTCTCCTGCTAGAAGCCAACTGTGTTGGATGTATCTTGGTGATATCTATTACATCTTACACAGAGATGTATTTCTGCTGTTCCCATGCACCTTTGTATTTAGTCTTGCAAACCTAATCTATGGAAATTGATTTCTGACCTGAAATACAGTGATTAGTTTGTTCTGAAGAGTTCAATGACATTGTAGACCCAGACATATGACAGAGAAGTTATTCTGTCGAGTTCACACCCTCTGTTGCATTTTCCTTGTCCAGCTTCCCCTCTGCAATCTGTAAGGACAGCTGCTGATCATTCACATGACAAAGAAATCACTATATATATATCTTTCAGGGCCAGATGAGATATAGGCATTTTCATAACACAGGGCTTCAGAAACTATGAGAAAAAGGAATGCAGCCAGAAGTTCTTACCTTCTCTTCAGATCCCAAAGGAGAGGGATTCAAAGTTTGCCACCATCAGGTACTTCCTAATCAGAAGACATTCTGGTCATGATAATCCAGCCCAAACTTTTGTATTCACAATCCTTGAAGATTTTCTGCAGAAACTGGATGAAGTTCACAAAAAACAGATAAATTAACCACTTAAAGACATGGTGAAACCACCGCTTCCCATAACAAAGTATTTGCATGTTTAATTAAAGCATATTTTACTTGTTTGTGATTGTTTTTAGGCACGGTTCAGATTATTCTTTTAGCATGATTTGGCTCCCTAATTATTTACTACCCTATCAAATATTATGTCTTCTAGGGAGGCCAGAAAAGACAATTTATCCCTGTTCACGTCACTGATAAAATTCCACAGGATCAAAAATAAAAATAAAAAAAAATCTGAGGAATTCTGCTAGAAACAGTCCTACACATCAAGAACTTTACATTAACTACTTTTTGAGACTTCTTAGCCAGTTTTAGTCTGAAACAAATGCCCTGCTAGTATTATTTTCTACAATTTTTTTTTAAATCAAATGTCCAGGTAATAATTCAATTGACTCAAAAAAGTCCAAGATTAAAATATCAATGTAGTTGCATTTTCCAATATAGATTTATGGTGTTTCCAGAAAAAAAAATAAAAAAAAAAATCTTGGATCAGGCAGACTTTCTGCAAACAAGCATGCTAACTTTCCTTCTTATATTTATAACTTTTATTTATTTGTTAAATCTCAAATTACCATTTCCTAATTCCCTGTAGAATCAATCATCAGGTAATAAATGCCTCTTGTTCTTCTTAAATGTTGGAAGAACATCAGTTATTTCTGAGTCTGTTGAAGTGTTCTTGAATTTGTTTAAAGACGATTAATAGTTTATGGTACTTCTAGCTCTCTTTGTTTAAGATTTTGGTTGAAGTATGAACATACTATTTCATAACTGCTCAACCTTAGCAGCTGCTTCTTCACATTCTCCCCCCCCCCCCCCTTTTTTTTTTTCCCAAAAGAAAAGCTTGCTGTTCCACTGATATGGTATTTTTGTCTTTTTTTTTTTTTTTTTTTTGCATAAAAATGTATTTTTTCACATAAAATTGTATTCAATTCAGTTTCATTATGTATACTTAACAATGTACTTAAGCTATTGCCTAGTGGCTTTGTTTTGTAATAATTCCTTTATGAAATTCCTTTTTATTTTATTAGCTTCATAAAGTTTACTAAATGATAAATCCTTCCTATTTACTTTCTTCCTTTTTTCCCCCATTATTTATGTCATTTTTTGCTGATGTTTTAACATTGCTTCCATGTATCTGTGTAACATGCCTATGTTACATTTGTTCCTATCAGTGGAATCAATAATTTTGGATGGCTAATTTTGCCTGCACTACTCATTTTTGTAATTCCAACAACACTTTATTCTTTGGAAATTGATGCACTAAAGTCCCTTTACATAACACTGGTTACTGCTACATTCTATTTTGGAACAGAAATTATATCACTAAATCATAATCACCTCTGCTTGAACAGCCACTGATTCCTAGGTTAATGACTAAATCTTCTTCATCCATTAAAATGAAATCCAATGTTTTATTATTGCAGCAGAGTTTCAGGCCCTTTGAGAATTTATCCTCTCTTGTTTTCAGAGGTAGTAAAGATGTTTTTTCATTTGCTATGTAAGCTTGCAAGTATCCATCACATTACAGCTGTTCATAATAACTTTTTTTTTCTATGTGTTATTGATAGGTAGTTTATGAGACACTGATATTGCTCTTCCCTGAGATTTTTGTAGCCTGTTCAACACCATGGTGCAACAGTGATCTATTACATGGAAGTCATGGTATTCTAGGATTCATGGATTGTTTCTGTACCTCTGAAATACTTTGCTCGTGAGGTGTAACTTTAAGGGTGGGATTTAGAGCAGGACCCAGTATTGCTAGACTTTAGGAAACTTGGGCCACAGAAAACAATGCATACACATAATCAAGAATTAGTTTTTATGGCAGCTAGGCTTAGAGGTCAGAAAATGTGGCTTCAGCTTTTTTTTGTTGACCCTAAGACTCTTTTCTACAGTATATGCAGAAGATGAAAAGAATGAAAAAAAAAAAAAAAGACCTGTTGGATTACACAGTGCAATTCTTTCTAATTTTATTTATAGCAAAGTATTTTCATGTAAGATCTACACACATGGATGGTGATCTATACCAACATTTGAGATTTTTAATAATTTATGCAGTCTAAAGAGAATTCACAAACCTATAACCCTAAATTTTAAAGTTGTGTGAAGTTTCAGACAAGCAGAAACATTTTACAGAATATATTTCTCACTTTGAAATAGTTTATTCTGTATTTTGCTTGAATAATACTTGTCATTCCAGATTTCAATTACTGGCAACAGTACCCTAAAAACAACATAAAAAAACTACTTCACCTCTTGCAGATTCCACCATGACATACTTGTCCACAATTCTCATTTTAAATCTATAATCTATGTGCTTCTGTATGTCTGATTTATAAACTGAGTTTAAATCATTTTCAAAGGACATATCAAATAGCAAAAATTGCTTATGTAACAAATGGTGGCAGCCAGAATAAAAATCATTTAGTAGGGCAAAACTTTCTCTTATATGACTTCCTCTGTTTTCCAAAATCAGCATTCATCACCTACCATCTGTTCTTGCTTTCTACATGGATCTTCTTGTTTTGATTGACGTTCTCTCCAGTGGCAGAATTTTTGGTGCATGTTAATTTACACAGCAGAATCACAGAATCATAGAATGGCCTGGTTTGAAAAGGACCTTAAAGATCATCTAGTTTCAACTCCCCTACTCTGGGCAGGATTGCCAACCACTATAACAGACTGCCCAGAGCCGCTTCCAGCCTGGTCTTGAATGCCTCCAGGGATGGGGCATCCACAACCTCTCTGGGCAACCTGTTCCAGTGTCTCACCACCCTTTAAGTGAAATACTTTCTCCTAATATCTAACATAAATCTCCCCTATCTTAGTATAAACCATTCCCCCTCGTCCTTTGACTATCAACACATGTAAAGAGGCATTCCCTCTACTGACAACAAAACAACAAAACTGACTATTGCTCCAAGATTTTAAGTGATCAGATGGAAGGACATTTCTAAGAAGGACACTTCTAAATGTGTTCTGGGGTAAAAGAACTGTGAAGTTTCTTGGTTTTGACACAGATTTGAAATACAACCTCAACTGTGTTATGAGAAGATGAGAATGACAATATACCTGAAACAAAATAAATTGCTGGTCATACTCTTTCCTCTACATCCTGTCACATAATTCAATATTTCTGAACACTAGGCTGTATCCATGGTAAATGGTTTGCCCTCCATATGTTTCCATAATTTAAAACTGATATAGTTGTCAGGATTCCTGACAATACTGTTTCTTATATTCTTCAAAATGCATTGAATCAGAGGGTAATCCAATAACACATCTGCCATAAAAACAGTATGATCTAAGTTTCTTCTGAACGTTTAGTGCATAAAAATATTTATATATTGTCCACAGTACAGAGTTTTTGGCCAAATGTCATATATAACAAGGATATGACTCTTTCCTAGCAAATTAAAAAATAAGTGATGAGGCACTGGTGCTGCTATTCTGTATACACAGCCCATCCTGTTCGGTGATAATAGAGGCCCTGCATTTCCAACATTTGATTTCCAGCATTTCTAGCATCAAATTTTCAGCTTTCGATTCCTCTTTCTACTTACCTAATTGTCTAGCTCTGAATTTTTCCAGTATAAGAAAACACTGGGATTCCACAATTTGCTAACTATATTATGTTACATGTAAAATATAGGATGTATTGTGAGGGATTAACCCTTATAGATCACTGTGGAATTTATGTTTAATGAGTTATGGTGTCATTACCCTATACATGTCATATTTTAAGTAAATATAATATCCTCTTTCAACACATCCTTTCTATCACACTCTAAAAAAAAATAAATCTAAGTGGTGTATATTCTAGCTGTGGCTAGAATAGGCATTATCAATCACAGGTAGGAAGGGTCTTATCTCATGGATGAGTCACTTCTCAGAAGTTTTTTTGTCCTCAGCTTCCTTTCAATCTCTTTGTCAAGTATTTCTTCGATGAGTTCTTGTCTCTGTACGATTTTGGAAACAGGAGGATTGTCCAGAAAACTTCATTTTCCCTCATTCCTTAAACAGGGCTGATTGCTGTGTTCACTCCAAGTCCAATTTTGGACATATGTGGAAGTGGAGAAGAATGAAAAGAGGCTATCGCAGATCTAGCCAGATATTGAGTGGGATGGGAGAATGTGCTGCACCCATATGAAGTATGTTATGTGAGTTTCCAAGAGTGCTGGGAAGAGATCAACACAGCCGTTCATGGAAAAATAACTTTTTGTACAGTCCTTTGAAGCAGAGCGCCTGGACATAAACACTCAATCCTGTATCTAATGTACATGATGATACTAGCCTATAAATCCTTTTATGGTAGATGAATCTCCATAAAAATTATGAGAAAGAAATTGGCTATCCTGAAGTAGATCTCAGATGAGTGAACTAAAATACACTGAATGCCCTCCTCTAAAATCTTAAATCTTGTTTGCACAAAAGTAGTTCTGTTGAAGTTACCTGTGTGACAGCCTGATGAAGTCAGAATCAAGCACATCTAATTTGGACATTTGGGCACAGGTATATCTCATATACAATTAGGTACCTTATGGGACATCAAAGGTAGTAACAGACCCCTAGACTCCCTCAGCAATTTGCGGGGAGAGGGACACAAGTCCAAAGGAAAAAGTTTGCTCATTTATATCACCTGGCTAGTGATATATCACATATATCACAATCATATCGATGGGTCCATTAAACCACACGAGGAGGATCAAGGCATATTTGGCCAAATTTTCAGTGTTGTTTGGGGAAAAAAAAAAGATTAAAAAAATCTTGCTTCTTCTCAGTGTCTTTAAGTGTAAGCTACCAAAAGATTTCTACACTACCACATGATAAATACACAGAACAATGGCTCAGATGTAGAAGTCTGCTTTTGCTGCTGATACTCCTTTCCTGGGGAGTTTGCATCACTTTCCTGTGCTCCACTGCTTCCAGGTGTAACAAGGCTCAATTTCCT